GCCTTCAGACTCCTTTAGCAGCACGGCACTCACGGCCAGATCGGCTACTGCCAAATACATGTACAATCTCTCCCCGGGATCTGCTTTGGTGAGGACGAGCGGAGAGGAGAGATATGCCTTGAAATCTTCGAAAGCAGCCTGGCACTCCGGGGTCCATTCAAAGGGATTGGCCTTCTTCATGATCTGGAAAAAGGGAATCGCCTTATCAGCCAGCTTGGATAGGAATCTGCTCAGGGCTGCCAGACGCCCGGTGAGCCGCTGCACGTCTTTTAGGTTCTTTGGGGCTTCCATGTCCATAATTGCCTTCACCTTCTCCGGGTTAGGCTCGATCCCCCGCCCGCTCATCATGTAGCCGAGGAACTTGCCGCCCCTGACGGCGAAGGCACACTTTTTCGGATTGAGCCTCATGCTGGCCCTCTCCATGATGCTGAAGACCCTCTCCATGTCCTGGACATGGTCCTCCTTTTTCTTACTCTTGATCAGGATGTCATCCACGTAAGCTTCCATTGTTTTCCCAAGTACGTCCTTGAACAACATCCCAATCATCCTCTGAAAGGTAGCCATGGCGTTCCTCAGGCCGAACGGCATGACGATGTAGCAGTACACGCCGTCCGCCGTGACGAACGCCGTTTTTTCGGCATCATCGGGGTGCATGAACACCTGATGGTAGCCTCTGAATGCGTCCATGAAGCTGAGCAGCTCGCAGCCTGCTGTCTCATCCACCAGCAAGTCGATCCTCGGAACAGGGTAAGGATCCATCAGACAAGCTTTATTGAGGTCCGAGTAATCGACGCACATCCGCCAAGTGTCGCCCTTCGGGGCTAGTACCACGTTGGCCAACCACTCCACGTGGATGACCGGCCGGATGTGTTTGATGCTGAGGAGAGTTGCTGTCTCCTTCCGGATGAAATCGCGTCGGTCGGCCGCCATATATCTTTTCTTCTGTTGTATAGGCTTGGCATCCGGCCGCACGGCGAGTTTATGGCATATGAGGTTGGGGTCGATGCCCGGCATGTCCTCCGGCCCTCTGGCGAACAGGATTCTGAACCTTCGGAGGACGGCTATGACCCCCGCTCTGATCTCCGGCTCTAGGTCTGCACCGATGGACACCTTCCTGTCCGTCGGGTCGTCGAGCTCGATTTCCTCCAGCAAGGTAGCTGGTTCCAGATGGGCGTCCAATTCGGCCTGTTTGGCCTTCTCGGAGATGCTGTTGACCCGAGCTTCTCGCTCGTTGAGCTTCTCCATGGCCTTAGTGTAACAGGCCCTGGCCATATGTGGGTCCGTACGTGCTACCCCCACTCCAGTGTCGGTGGGGAATTTGATGCATGAGTGCCGTACGGAGCATATGGCCCCCAGGTCCTCCAGACCGGGCCGGCCCAAAATGGCGTTGTGGGCGCACTTCAGGCGGACCACGACGAACGTCATTCCGATCCGGGCGGTGTGAGGGCCGTCGCCGATTTCTACCGGCAAGGTGATGGTGCCCTCAGCGTCAATGCAATCCCCGGTGAAGCCGGACAGCGGGGTGCGCAGAGGGTGCAGCATGTCCTTCTTGAGCTTCATTCCCTCGAAAGCCTCCCAGTAGAGGACGTTCACACTGCTCCCAGTATCAACGAGGACGCGGCGGACGATGGCATCGTTCACGTCCATGCTGATCACCAGCTCGTCCCTGTGCGGCGCTGGTGACATCGGCAGATCGGTGGGTCCAAATGTGATTGCCTCGATCTTGTTGCGCTTGGTGGGGGGTGCTGATACGGAACCCACGTAGAGTGACCTCTCGAATTTTTTACGTTCGGCGGGTGTATCCCCTGTCTCAGCGCCCCCGAAGATCACCTTGATCTCCAGCTTCTTCTTTTTGCCCTTCGGGCCGAGGGACCCCTCCGGACGTTTATCTGCACTTCGATAATCCACGTCCTGAGGTTCTGCCTCGCGCCGGTCGTCGCGGCGCCATGTCCGGGGTCGGGGATTTGGTTTCTGCTGGCTGCTTTTGTTCAGTAGCTGAGTGAACTCGCCCAAGTACCCCTGACGGATCAGCTCGTCGATTGCCTTCTTTAGTTGGCTGCAATTGTCCGTCAGGTGGCCGGCCCTCTGATGGTATTCGCAGTAGGCAGATTGGTCGAGCCCCATATGCTTCTTCATATCTTGGGGTTCCATCAGGAGGCCCTTATCCTTGATGGCCTAAAAAATTTGGCTCACTGGATAGGCCAAGGGGACATAGCGGTCGTCCGGCCGCGTTTGAATATCTCCGGACGGAGCCTTCCAAGGGACCATCGCCCCGTCCGCCTTCTTCTTTTTGTTTGGGGGGGAGGGCCCGAGTCCTGGTCTGGGTCCGAGCCTGTCCGCCATCTTCCGTGGTTGGGCCGCGGGAACTCCGTCCCGCTGCCTGATCTCCTCCTCAATGGAGGCATACTTCTGGGCCCGAGCCAGACGCTCGGTGTAGCTGGTGCCGGGATTCCTCCTTAGGTCCCGGTATAGATCCCCTGTGGCCAGCGCACTGGTGAACATGTTGGTGGCCAGACGTTCGTCCAGATCGTCGACCTGCAGGACCTCGTCCCTCCACCTTACCAGGAACCTAGCCAGCGGTTCGTCCCGCCCTTGTTTGATGTGGGCGAGAGCCGTGACGTCCTTCCTGGGGGTGGTACTGGCAGCAAACTGAGCCATGAACTGCCGGGAGAGCTGTTCGTATGAGTCGATGGTGCCCGGCCTCAACTGGCCGAACCATTCTTGCGCCGGCCCCCTGAGGGTGCTGAAGAACAATCTGCAGATGGCCTCGTCCGATGCTCCCAGCATGGACAGGTTCCCTTGGTAGCTAATCAGATGGGCCTTGGGATCACCAGCCCCATTGTACACCAAATTGCCCGGGGGCCTGCAGTCCCGGGGAATCTCGACGCTCATCACCCGTGGGGTAAAGGGTGATGTGAGGGAGAAAGAAGGTGTGGCCGAGCCGACGTCCGTCCGTCTGTTCATCTCGGCTATCTGTCGCTCCATTGCTTCCAGCCTTGCATCCTGTGCGGCCCTTCCGGGGGACACAGGGGGCGCGGCTTCGGGGACGGCATTCTGCTGAGCGGCCACAGCATCGTGCGGCCGCCTAAAGATCTGCGCACCTCGCCGTTGGAAACGTCGTCCAACGGTGTTGATCCTTGGGGTTTCGTCTCCCCGCGGGATTTGGCGGGGAACCGATGGCGTGTGAGCCCTGGATGCAGCGATGCTGACCCTGGTTCGCCCTCCCGTTTCACGGGAGCCTGAACCCCCACCTAGCCACTCATGGACTGAGGGCCGGTGGTCGCTGGATCCCGTCGTATCATCATACGACTGCATGCGGCGAATGGGAGAGAGGGGCGTTCGCTGGGTGCTTGCAGAGTACACCTGATCTCGGGCCTCCCGTTCGTCTGCCAGACGACGCATGGTGTATATTTATAAATATTAAAAATAGATTTTTTTTAATATATATATATATATATATATATATATATATATATATATATATATATATATATATACACACATATAATATCCTATGATGTCTACCTATTCATTGCTTTGAAGCATTTTCCTTTTTCAAGATTGTTGAGGTTTATTCCTTCAACCTTCAAGCCCAACACGTAAGCCCAAAGATTTCGAGTGGAGTAAGTGTATGAATATCTAGCCCAACAACTATTAGATGGATCAGGAAACAGAGGAAATAGCAGGCAATGTAAATAGGTATTATTAACTTCGTAATAACTCCCCTAAGTACAATCTACTTGCTAAAAAGGCACGTCGGCCGTTCGTCTTACGGGGTAGTGCAGATGCTACCGGTAAGAATGCTATAGCTAGAATGCTAAGAATAGAAAGTTGCCAACCCTTTACAATGAAATAAATGCTTCTATTTATACCCACCAATGGGCAGGTGGCTGTGCTGACGTGGCAGCCTGTGGACCGCTGGTGCCCCAACTACCGAATCTTCAGCATTAAATGCACTTCCCGCCAGAATCTAGGTTTCCCGCCTAATCAGTGGGGACGTTCGTCCGCCCGGGAAGTGAGTTGGATCGCTCCAAGTGACCCTCAAGAGATACCGGCTGTTCGTCTCCTGGCCTTGATAGATACTCACCATGTGGACTGGGTTTCCACCGACGACTATAGGCTTGCCATGGGGACGTTCGTCGTCATCCCTGGTGGCCCGTGGCCCTGCTCCTTGTCCCTGCATAGACGTTCTTCGGGATGAGCCGCTGGGCCTGGACTCCCAACCCCAGACGCTCGTCCATCCTCAAGGAACAGTGGCCTGTGGGCTGGCCTTGTGTTCTTCTCTGGACGTGCGTCTGGTAAGATGGGGTTAGTGGGCCGGACCTCGGCTTGGGCCCTTAACCCAACAAAGATACTTAGTAATAAATTCATAATATTTCTCATATACACTAGTCATCTCGAAATATAAATATAGTCAATAAGTCATTAATTTAAAATGAGAAATAAGTCAAACAACTACAATCTTGAAATTAAAAGTGCAAGTATCCAATTCGGAGTATGAGTTAATGACTTAATTCGGATATAGCCATATAGGCCCATTATTTGATTACCAAGTAAAATGTAGTTTTAGATTTTCATTTTTTTTAGAATTTTATTAAGTAAATTTTGGGTTTTTTTTAAAAAAGTTGATACGGGTATCCGTCAGGATACGAGTATCGGAAACTTTCAAAAAATTACAAAAAAAAATGGAAACTTTTAAAAATTGCAGATACGGCCCGGGAACGTACGGTACGGGTATCCTAGAGTATCGGATACGGGAACGTATCGGATACGCCGATACGCTACCCTAGCGAAGTATCCGTGCTTCATAGATGCCAAACACACCCAATATATGGATGAAGAGAGTAATATTTAAATTGATGGTTGTGATTAGTTAGGCCCTATGATTAGTAATTTGGGGCTCTTAATATAGCCTATAGCCTATTTAGAGGAAAGCTTAAAGTGGCCCAGCCCGTTTTCACCCCATTCATACGAACCGGAAATGATGAAATCGCAGAAATGGGCTCGGGCGTCGATGGGTTTGTGGGCCAGGTGAGCCGATGCGCCGAATGCTGGCGCCAATATCGTGAACCGCGATCCCCGGAATCCGGAAGCCACCGGTACTCCATATTCCTCAGCCGTATCTGTCGCTGGAAAAACCACTGAATTTGGTGTTGCCGGGAAATGGTTGAACTCGAGAAACATGATGTCCGCGCCCGAGAATCTATCAAATCTCAAAGTTCCTTCAACAATTATCCCAAGTGGAAGCTGAAGGTTTTTATAAAATTCCTTCGATGTGTTACATTATATAAATGAGTTCATTCTTGTAAATGATGAAAGTTATGTTAATGGCTTTTGCAGCTCCGAGAAAATTGTTACACGAGGGTACAGGAGGATCGAACCCGCTTGCTCTGGAAACTGAGAACCACCCAGGCCAAAGAGCACAAGGTTTTTCAAGGAATCTCTGTAGCTCCGAGAACATTTTATTTTTATTTATTGTTGAATTGAATTCATATGCTCTGTATGGCTATGTTAACAGTTTAACACTCCATATGGTGTGATATTTGATATGATCAGTTTGGTTGGCATCATTAACAGGTTAGCCTTACAGTGTTTGAGGGATTTATTATCATTTATGTTATTCCTGTTTGCAGGAATGCTTAAAATCAACCTTCCGGGACATAGTTTCTGATGAACTGAAGAAAATAAAGGTTTTGGTTGAGAATGTTGATACTCTCCCTGTGATGGATGAGATGATATGGGAATATGATGGCCTTCACATGGCGTATCAAGGCGATTGTGAGGAAATACTGCTGGAAATGCAAAGAATATTTTATGAAGATGTTCGGCTAGGAGAAATTAGTGAAGGTAATGTTATTTTATCTTCCATATAAGCCTTGTTGAGTTATAATGGGAGGAAGACTTACCAATGTAGATGCTAAGAAGTTCATATATGCGCAAGGTGGGTTTTACTTTATTGAATTTCCTGGTAGGTATTCCTCTTGACCGAGTTACTTTCATATTTAATTTGTATGGAAAAAGTATGAAGCTCTGGCAACTCCATTGAAGAAGGGTTCAGAACACTTGCAATCATTCTTTCATTCTTCTCGGTTGGTATAATTTCAAATTGTTGAGCTTAGATTTACTTTAGCTTCTTGCAGAGCAAGAAGTTAGTTCAAGTTGGGAAGATGAAGAAGACGATTACCTGGCACGGGCGGTCTATGATCATATGAAACTGAATGACAAGAAGGTATTCTGCTAACACATCTCATATTTAAATTAAGGGAAAAGTTATACATATACCCCAAACATTCGAGGGGTGTGAGGTCAATACCCCAAACTTACATATGTAATATAAATATCCTGAAGTTTATATAAAAAGTTATGTTGGTACCATGATCATATGATTTTTCTTTCACAAATGTAAATTTATGGTGTGAAATAAATAATTTAAATACATTTATCATTTAAGATCATGGTGCTAGGATAACTTTTTATATAAAGTTCAGGGTATATATATTAATAAATTAATATATTCACAAGTTTGGGGTATTTACCTCACACCCCTTCAAAGTTTGGGGTATTTAAATTATTTTTCCCTTAAATTTATAAATTATTGATCCATCCTCACACCTAAAAGGGCATCCCGGTGCACGAAGTCATCCTCACAAGGCGAGGGTCCAGTAAAGGGTCCACGATAATGGTGTAATAACGGGGGCAAGCCTTCCTTTGCCAAGTTTTGGCAAGAGGCTGCTCCCCCGATATGAATACATGGCCTCTTGGTGCGTCAAGGCTCCCCTTCTTATCCATTCTCACACCTGTGTTCAAATATAGCTTAATATTTTTTTTGGGGTGAACTGTAAATATGTATATCATCCATTCATCCCAAAAAATAACATGTACAGCAGTGTCCAAAAATGCAAGGCAAACTACCATTAAAGGTGGTTGCCACTAATCTAAGGAAAGGCCCATAACATGGGCCGAGCCTATCCAGCTAGCAAGAAAATAAAAAAGCGTTGCATGGTGCACACAAACAAAAGTTCGCCAAAAATAACAACTAGCCGTGGCAACCAAAAACTTGATAGCACCCCAAAAAACAAGAAAATAATCATATCGAACGGATAGATACTGTAGAGACGTAGAGTATCTTATAGACCACGTGCTTGACTTTACCAACAACATCATCTTCGGGTTTTGAAGTGTCATCAAAGCGGAATGTGTTCCTTGCTTGCCAAATCCAGTAAATAGTAGTGCATAAAGCCAAACAGACTGTCTTGGACTTGATAAGTGCCCCACTATGATCCTTTTTAATCCATTTGACAGCACTTGCCAAGGTGGTCATTTGTTGCTTGAGGCCTATCCAGTCTTTAATCCTCGTCCAGACCCTGCAAGAAAAAGGACAAACAAAGAAACAAATATAGCTTAATATGATACTATTATGTGTGCAGTTCAATTTCAATCCAGATAAAACATAGAAGGAAGTCTTATTGAGCAAATATAAACTCATATGCAGACTATGTTGAGGAATACCATGTTGGATTACTTACATATTCTCAATTCTCAATTTAAAAAGATTTGGCCTTCCTACACTTCCACTCATATTCGGAACTTCCTCTTATGAAATATGTAGATGGCGAATATTCCACAAAGATTATATTTTCTATTATCTGCTGTTATTTGTTTATTTGGGAGTATCTCTGTTTAATATTCATGTATTTTTAAGTTTAAGTGTGATACTTCTAATAGGTGGCCAATGAGGTTTGGTGTCCAATATGCAAGAGGGGAGAGTTGAAAGAGAACCATCATCTAATTAGTTGCACTCATTGTGGTATTAGACTCGACAGAGGCGATGAGGTTGTCCCACATTCCTACTGTTTTGATTATTATTTTTCTGTTTTATTTTAAATACGCAATCTTGTATTAATGAGTTGACCTGACCTATTAGTGCCAGTTGCAGCTTAAAAAAGATTTAGCTTGTAAATGTATCTTATTAGGCTTTTGGTACATAGCCTCACAAGTATGAAGTATCAGGCCTTTCATTGCTCTCAAAGTGCTTATAGCCTGTCCTTGTGTGGACATCCCCCATGGTCCCAAAAGGGTTCTATTTGGTTCCTATGTGTGCCATAGTTCTTACCCCATCCCAAAATATAAGGGATAATCGCTTTTAGCACAGCTTTGAAGTAAAAAAGTAAATTTTGTTGAGGTTTAACAAAACAAGTAGTTCAGCACTTCAGCTTACCAAATTGCCCCTCAAGTGGGACTAATTTTGTCTAATCGTTACAAAAAAGTAGTCAAAGAAATTGTGAATTAGGAAAAAAGGTGATTTTGGAAAAGTAAAAAGTCAGTGGTGTCCAAATTGGACATGATTCCGGGACATGCCGAAAACAGGAAGAAGAATATGTAAAGCGGGATAGAGGGAGTACTTTATTTGCAATCAAGGTGTTTCTCATTACTTATTGAATCCTTTCCCCTCACTTTTAGGTATGTTTAGACTTTAGATCATAGAATATATCAGGAATTGGAAATAAACTGCTAAAGAAAACTATTCTCATGTGTTTGGTTTTATCTCAAAAAATGGTAGCAAAATGAAATGCGACTAAAGTTATTAAAAAAATATTAAAACTAAGTTTATTGAGATTGGACCAATATTTTACCCCCTCCACATTATATTTCCTTCAAACTTCCCTCTTTATTTTCCTGTATATACTCTTCTCTAGTATTATCCGAGTTCCAAACAGTCCCTTACTGTCCCATAAGTTTCAAGCCTGTAAATGCCAATATTCTATCCTTCTGTCAAAAACACATTTATAATTACTGATAACGGTTTGTCATTGTAATGAAAAAAGCTATTTCCTCGTTTCCTGACAACTGACACTATATAGGTTTGACATCATGGACAGGTCTTTGTAGGTCACATTTTACAATACCTTATCTCTATCGATGTATATCTTTTTAATCCTTACAAGGTTTCACATTAGGGCCCTCATTTAGATAAATCATGCTTGCTATCATACCCATTTCCAGGGTATTTCCTTATTTTCATAAACAAGAGGCTAGCCCAAACGAGGCATAAAAATCTTCATATTTGCTTTTCGCAACGATATTTCTGCTTTTAATGAAATATTCACGACAACATTGTTAATTCTCTTTTTGTTAATCATCTCTATCTAGATTCTATTCAATGCCCTATTTTGTGATCGTTCTTGTTTGGTTCTCTACACTTTTCATGATTGTGCAGTTGAACTACCGACCCTCTTTGACTTGATCTCATGTGGCAGGTTAATCTGGAAGTACTGCGGAACAGGTTAGCCGAAGCTCATTCTGAGCATCTGGATAGAGGTTGCAGATTAAAACCTGAATTCTGTTTAGAAACTAAATTTGGACTTACCGCACTTTATATCAGCTGCCAATCCTGCAATACCTTTGAAATAATTATATAGGCCAATATCACTCTACTAACCTCTACCTCCACTCTATTTTGTACATTAGAACTGCATTGACCATGATCTATTCGTATATATATTTATGAGGTGCCTATTTTGCATTAACTTTCATTTATCTTTGCTAAAACATTGAGAAATGACATGCGTGAGGGGGAGGTGATCGGGATTGAGCCTTCGGTCAAAATTTTCTTGTATGCCGTTCTAGGTATGAGTTTCTTTTGGACTATAAAAAATGTTCATTTAGGCTAATATTGTAAATACCGAAGTACCGAACCATTTCACATAAGAAAAGTGTCATTTCGCTCCTAAAGTTATAAGTTATGGAAGAATTGTTGATTTGACATTTGTAATCTCGCTCCTAAACTGTGCTGGTTTCACAGTTTTGTAGCAAGGATAAAGTTGATGTTACCTTTTCAATATTGCCATTGGTTTATTAAAAGGTAGTACGTTTTAAGTAATCGCTAAATATTCAAACATTATATTCCTTACCTTTATAATTTACTCTAATCCAAACAGCCGGATATATCACTTAGGAAATAGAATTTCTGTATGGTGAGATGTACGACGTATCCGGATCTAACATATACGAAGTATTTATATAATACGAAGTAATGGTATAATGGAAAATTAAGCACGAAAATCAACCATCTTCACGTCAATAAAAAAGGGCCAAAACAATTTGAAACCAAGAGAATACTAAGAAAAACAAAAAGAATAAGGCATATAAATTAGTCTCGTGACTTCCATTTCCTAATCTCAAGGACAGATGCGGTAATGAACAAGACAACAATGGCAACAGCAAAACCAGCATTCCAACTACTTCCTGCATCAGCTAAGTGTATTCCATAAAATATATTTGCGATCGCCAAAATCACCAAAATCCTTCCAACGTTGTGATGGTACCAATTCCAGTACTTCCTCACTTTGGCTTCCTTTTTAGGTCTTGCCAAAAATGCAATCACCTATACGAATCACACAAACACGGCCAATGAAAACTATTAGGCTAGCTAGCATGTCTTTAGTGCCACTTAAATTCCCATGATATAATGCACACAAGAGGAAGAAGTCCTACTATAAGTAGGTCAAGTTAAAAGCCTTATACTCTTATAAAGTCATGGACCCGGTTCGGGCCGCCCGGCCCGGGCCGCCACTGTGCGGGCCCGGAACCGGCCTGGTTCTCGGGTCCGGGTCGGGCCTAGGCCCGGTGGGGGGGGGGGGGGGGGGGGCGGGTCCGGGCTCGGGCCTTGTATTTGGCGAACCGGCCGGGTCGGGCCCGGGCCAAAAACTATTTTTTTTTCATTTTTTGGGCTTTATTGAGTTGGGCTTGATGTTTAGGACCGGTTTGGGGGGTTTGGGGGGGGGGGGGGGGGTTTGGGGGGGTGGAGAAAAGAATAGGAAAAAAAAACTAACCGGGTGGCCCAGCCCGGAACCGGTGGCAACCGGTTCGGGCTCGGGCCCAACAAAACAGACCCGAGGCCCGAACCGGCCCGAGGCCATCCCTACTCTTATTGTTCTTTATTCAAACGACCCAACAATTTTTTAGCCCCGGCGCCGGCTCACTTCATATTTGAAAAAAACTTTGAATTTAAGTATGAAAATATTTATTTGAAAATAACTTTGTACCGCAACTCGACATATACTCTTGTGTCTTGACTACGCCACCGCTTCTTTTCATAGATGAAACAAAAGTATACAAAACATAGTGGGGTTGACCATTAGACGTTATGTATTCTCTACAAGATTCACTCTTAATGCCACAAATATTATACTACCTCCGTCTCGGAAACAAGTTCTCGGGTTGACTTTCACACATTTTAAGGAAATAAAGTTACCGATGAATAAATTTTATTGTTTTGACACCGTTTCGACACTGTTTCGCACTGTTTGACACTGTTTTGATGTAGATAATTTGCCAAATAAGGAAATGCGAAGTTTATTTTGGGACATCCAAATAAGAAAAATGCGAACTTGTTTTCGGGACGGAGGGAGTATTAATTATCTTTGTTCCTGTGGACTTTGTCAATTTTGAATAAGGTGAAACATACGAAAAATAAAAGTTGTGTGATTAAGGTTTGTACAGATGAAAGAAAAAACCCACAAATTACTTGCTTCAATGAAAATTGAATGAAATGTGAAGAACGTTTTTGGAACAACAAAATATGAAAACACGGGCCATGAAAATATTATATTGTGAAGGCCAAAGTTGCATATATGCACGTACTTAATTTGTTAGTAAATATTGTTCCCTCCGTCCCAATTTGCATAATTTGTCAAATTTCCTATTTTGTTCATCGCAAAATAATTTTTCACATTATATTTTAGGTATGTAAAGATGGATAATGTGATAATGATGGATAACATTAATTTTTGTGTCAGTCAACTTTTGCAAGTCAAAATGTGACAGAGGGAATAATTTATTCGACAGCACACCACGGAGTCGATACGTGAAAGTTTATATTACGGAACCAAAGCTTAAAATATGCATATTTCATACAATATATAATTATTTACACATATACTACCCCCGTAACCTCGGGATGTTCCTATTTGAAAAGTAGGTAGATTAAGAATAGTGAAAGGAGATGTGTATTATTGAGGGTATTATGGGAAGACAGTGAAATAATGTGATGGAATGAAGGATAAATCCAAAAAAATAGGTGTAATAGTGTATTATTTTTAAAATTATTGAGGGTATGATGAGAGGATATAGAAATGAGAAGATATTAATGTTACATCCAAAAAAGGAAAGTTGGAAGATATTTACGTTACACGATAGTATATTTATAAAGAAGTGTTTGCTATTGCTTAAAATAAGCACTTTTTAGCTTTTAACTTAAAATAAGCTGAAAAAAGTGTTTCCTAATGCCTACTTCTACTTTAAAAAAATACTTTAAACCTAAAAGCTGGAAGCTGGTAGAGAGGTGTTTTAAACTGCTTTTCACTTTTTCTATTACACAAAAAACACTTATTTTATCAAACACTACCTATTTTTACTTTTTCAAAAACATTTTTTTTTCTCAAACACTACCAACTTTCACTACTCCCTCCGGTTCTTAATTAAGTTCCTAGTTTGACTTCACACATATTAAGAAATAAATTTGACTTTACTGTGGAGTGCGTTGTTTGAACACTGTTTGACACTGTTTTGGTGTAAATCATTTGCCAAATAAGGAAAGGTTTGAAGTAGGAACTTTAATATGGACCATTCCAAAAAAGAAAGTAGAAACTTAATTACGGGATGGAAGAAGTATTAAACATTTTTTTCAAAATCACTTTTTAAAAGTAAAAGCAATCACAAACACCATGTAAGAATGCAAGTTGCAATTTTGCAAAGAATAATTGATATATATTGAGGTAGAACTGGAACATACCTGCAAGCAACCGAGTACGAGAATAAAGATGCCAAGGCTTTTGTGGGTGTGAACATTAATCCCAAGACGGTTTTCGAGCACAAAACCGCAAATGACACCTGCGAATCCTAAGATGAATCCCACTGTCTGGATTGCGATGTGGGAGTAAAACCAGATTGGATCCCATTCCCTGAAGTAGCGAGCCGCTATTATCCCAATAGGCACCGCTATTCCCCATCCGAACAAGTTCAACAACCCATGGGTCCTCTTTAGCTTCCCGTACAATGTCTTTGTCTGACTTTGACCTGTAACATAGTCAATCAATGAAAAATAGATACACTTTACCAAGTTTTCAATTGGATATGAACGTGTTTGATACTTTGATCTATTGGATTAGGGATGTTTTTATTTGGACATTTTTCAATTCCAGATCAGATTTAAACAAATTGGATCAGACTTGACCGGATCAGATTAGAAAAGATCAGACCAAACTTCTATAGTTATAAAATACACCGAGATTAGACATATATCAGATCAGACATATATCAGATCAGACCAGACTTAAACACATCAGGCCAGATTAACAAGTTTGTTTACTCCTAGGCTCGAATCAGGGTTTAAACAACGGATCAAATGGGAAGAGTCCTTATAGAGTAGAAATGATCGAGAATGTATATCTAGTGATTTGAATGAGAAATCTAATGAATGGCCTGCAAAGTGCCAAAAATCCAAAAAATTATGCAAGACATTCCGCAATTAACCAGAACTTTTTTGTCATTACAAAAGTACAGTGCATCAGATTAACGATAAAATACATAAAATGAAGTAAATGTGAAACTTTTTATTTCTCACGTTAAGATGTCTTTTTATAGAAATCATCTCGAGACTCATTCATAATCAATAATCTATGTTTCATTAAAAAAAACAATGTTTTATGCGTCACGAACATCAGGTTTTACTTTCTATTCCATTATCTTTATCGATCATTTTTTAATTTGGACTATCATATTCTAACTGAGTTATATATATAACACTATACTGGTCTCATGAATAATATCAATGATGAACCTGTCGCCTTTTTTAAGAATTTTCTTTGTTATACGATAGTTTATTGGCTCAAGGATTCAATTTACTAAAATTGTAATTGGAAAGATTATTGATGATCAAACAAGCAAACGAAAAAGCAGTCCACGAAGCAAGCTACAATGCTACATTAACTGGAAGGACATTAATTGGAGTATATGATAAAGCAGTGCAGAAATTATTTTTTAAAGCTAATTAATCAAAGATATATCCAACATTTTTAATTGAAAAAAATTAAACAAATATTTTTATATAATTAACACACCCAGTCAATAATATAATATAATGAGAGAATTCCCTAAATAGGAGTAAAAACGTTTTGAAATTCCAAAATATGAGTATCATGTTTTTTATTTCCTAAATAGGAGTAAATTTCTGCCAAGTTTGGCAATATAAGGCTTCAAACATGACATTTTTTTCCAAACTTGGCAGATTACTCCTATTTAGAGAATAAAAAAAACGTGATACTCTTATTTTAAAATTTCAAAACGTTTTTACTCCTATTTAGGGCAATTTCTGCTAATATAATTCAAACTGTTGAATTCTCTCGTCAATTTCAACTAATGAACTAACTCTCATCTCACCGAACAAGCTCATAATTAGTCAAGTTAGCAGCCAAAAATAATGAGTCACGACATGTATTAATTTATTAATTAAATTGTATAATGATATGTTTGAATAAATGAATGAAACACCTTAAAACTTGTATGTGAGATGTCAGCGCCATATATTGGCGACTCTATCTTGACTCTTGAGGATAACCCAACCATCATTTCTAGATATTTAATTTATAAGGACAGCTATATATTTAAGATATTATCCATTTTGTTCTATGAAATGTAAGATCCGAAAATGAAATAAGGTAATAGCTAGAATTTGTATTGAAATTAGTACGGAGTACAATAACACATACCAGTATCATATCCTACCTCCGTCACTCTAAATTACTTTCTAAGATAACATTATAGAAGTATTAAAGTAGTATCACGATAGTTCAATACTCCGTATAATTTAGGTAGATTCTATGGTACCCAAAAGGTACCATACCTTTGTACACTTGGACCAATCAGAATGTTGCAGTTGAATTATTTAAATCTAAATTAAAAATGATTTAATAATGTGGACCAATCATGTGAGTGGTAGGTACGGTACCACATTTTTAAAACGGGTACCGGAGTTGTCACCATAATTTAATGACACGTATCTTAGGAGGTGTTTGAAATTGGTTTTGGTTCTGTTTTATTTTTTCATAAGCAAAATTTGAATCATTTTTTTGAAACTGATCTCTCTCGACTTTTAGAAAAAAGTTAGATCAATTAGAGTTCCCAATTTTTATTTTATGTACTTGATGGTGTAAGATTAATTTATGAAAAGATCCAATACTTTAAAGAATGTGTGGCCGCACTTTTGAAGAAGAAAGGGTCGACTATGGTAGGTAGTTGGGTGGCAATTGCGACTCAGCCATTTCAACAGATCGTTTTGTTTACGAATGGCAGATCGTAAGTAGCTGTCAAGGTCAAGTAATACCCTCCCTCGCCTACGTACAACTTTTGCAGGAGACCAATACTTTATCTTAATGATTTTGTGCAATTTTGATAATTTTTTCTAAATAATGTCAAAAATTGTATAAAACCAATCAAATAATAATAGACAATTTATTTATTAATATTTATGTGATTATCCCTCATGTCACATGTGCACTATGCACATTATAGCGAGCATTGAAAATGCTTTCAAATACTCCATATTCAAATTCTTCTTTGGCACTTTCCTTCCATTCCTAAAGGCACATATAAAAGGCACTCCATATACTACGTTTTTTATTACTCCCTCCGTCCCAATATAAAAGGCACATATCCCTTTTTAGACCGTTCCAATATAAAAGACACATTTTCTCTTTTGGCAAACAAAACAGTGTCAAACAATGTTCAAACAATGTCAAACAGTGTCCAAACAGTGTCCAAACAGCGTTCCTCCTAAAAATGTTTGAAAAAGCAAATGTGTTCTTTATATTGGGACAGAGTGAGTATTAAAACTTAGAGTTTTTGCCACTCTAACCCCCTTTATTATCATGTCACTTTTGATACTTGATTTTCAATCTTTCATTTATAGTCCTTCAATTATTATGTGAGAGACAATTTCATTCATCATCTTCAAATATCCTGATATTTAGTCCCCTGGATATTACTTTTATAAAAATCAGATGATTAAATATCAAAATTCTCAAAAACAAATAGTCCGTACTAAAAAAGTCTTGCTCAATAGTCAAAACTCAAAAGATTAAAAGTGAAAAAGTTCAAAGTCACAGTGATATAATAGGAGTAAAAATGACAAAAACGCTTAAAACCCATTAAGATAACTAAGCTACATTATTATTTCGTCCTTGACGCATTTTCTAAAAAAAACCATTAATATGAGTAATCTCTAATTTAAGATTCGGATTTCCAAATTAACAAAAAGGATGTCTCCACAGCTCCACTCAATTACTTGTCATCGACTGATTGCAGTTTTGGCTCAGTGGTGATGTTTGCCTTTTGAATTAATTCCACCTTTCATATTATAGTATCACATCAATTATATAATTGCTTATTTAACCAATTTTGGTACATAAACAAAAACGTTGGCGTATTCAGAAAATATTCTGAGTTGGGACGATGTTACATTTGACATTAAAGTCATACACTTCACAAATAGCGAATCACATTATTAATATTGTTTGATTAAATTTAGTTTAAGACTTAGGAGGTGTTTGGATCTGATTCTTAATTTTTTTTTGCTCTTTCAGGGAGCAGAAGCAGAAATTGGAGTGTTTGAGTGAAAGTACAGAAACGATTCTAGTACTCTAATTTACTTCTAGAATCTGTTTAGAAGTTGATCTCCTCCAGCTTCTAAAAACTGATTCTGATTCTGCTTCTACTTTAAAAAAGAATCAGAAGCAGAATTAGTTCCAAACACCCCCATATACGTACAAGTATATATAGAAAGATCAATTTATATTATGTGTGTGTAAATATGCAATTGTAGATAAAACTTGAAAAAAATATCAAGTTAGGCATAATAAAATTTAGTCAACTTTTTGTCCTTTATTCATAATACAAGATCATATTTTAGAACTTTTTCTATGTTTAACCATTATTTTGAACAACTTTCAATAAAATTCTTGAGATATAAATCAGGGCTGAGTTGGGGTGGGGACAGCTGTCACCGCTATCCCCACAGTGGATACACCACCGTACATAATCATTGTGTTTTCATTCATACATGATTTTTTTGTCAATGTTTTTGCTGAAAACCCCATAAATTGTAATAAAACATTAGTAAATATTACTTCACTAAATTCCACACTATTTGCAGTTTTGCACCGTTGTAAGGGAAATTCCTCAAGTTTTTCGAAGTGACTGCTCATCCGACAAAAGTTGCAAAACATTCACTGGACAAAAGTAATTTAACTCGAGCGCCCAAAACTATAATATGAATTGGCCAATGGCCCCAATGGGTGTCCAAAACTTAGCTCAATGATTAATTCATTAGTAAACTTTTCCCCTCCAAATAGACTTTAATCAATTACGTTGATCAATATAAATTTATCACGGTTCTAAGTTTATATTCTTCTATTAGAATATTGTTAATAAATAGCTTCGTATCATTTCAAATTGTAATAAGGTTTTATACGTAGTATTGCCAACAAAAGGGTTTTATACGTACTAAATAATTACCCAGTATGAGATCGAGTATGTCATTGTCAAAAGTTAAAGATGATTACGTTTTATGTGGGGATGAAAAATATGTAAAATCCCAACTTTATGTAAATGTCAAAAGTTAAAGATACATTAAAAATCTCACAAGTAAATCCCCATTTTCTTTAATTTCATTTATTTGTGTATATAAAAATGATCATGACTCACCTGTGGTATAATCCAAGGAAGTAGAAATTTGGTCTTGATGTTGTGTGAGGCGGAAAGTGGCGGAGGACGGCAACTGTCCGGTGGGTCCGAGGGAGTAGATCAACCGGTTCGACGGCTGGTCGGTGTTTAGCCGGAAAGCCATGTAGATTCTTGAATTCTCGGCGACGATGGATGAGCTCCGGTTGACTAATTGAAGGTTACCCTGATCAGGCTGCACTAGAGAAGGAGACTGCCCACCAAGAAAATACCTCTTCATGGTTGGTGTCCCACCGGAACCCACCCACCCCACTATGGCACTGGACCCCACCATCCTCCCATCTGATGAAAACCCCATTCCAATGTATGCATTCATGTTTGGAGCTGATAGCAAGAAACTCCACTCTCTTGAATCTGTTTTCCTATACTGAAAAAAGAATCAACTTTTCTAAATACCATGTAGAGCACAGAACCTCTCAGGAAAGAGTAAGTTTCCGTTTTGAAAACTCTTCAATCAGTTAATCTTTGAATAAGTTATTGATTAATTACCGTAGCACGGAAACTCTCGAGGGAAAAAATGTTTTCGTTTCGAAAACTCCCAAAACAGTTGTTCTTCGAATGAGTAAAAGATGGTGTTTCCCGTTTCTAGATGATTTTCACGTTTCCGTGCAACATAGATTAACTAATATTAAGTTCTATCTATCAACTTAGTATTGATTGAGTTTCTGAACTTACTCTGAGGATGAAGCCATGAGAATTCCAGACGGGAAGACAATTGAAAGAAGTGGGATCAAACAGGAGTTGGGATTTGAGAGCAAGTTTGGAGTTGCAAGAATCGGTGGATTGAGAATTTGCTTTGAAGAACTGAAAGCAACATAAATGGCAGAGGAAGAAGGAGATGATAATGGTTTTGGGAATTTCCTTCATTTCTTCCTGATTTGGGGTTTGGGTGAGGAAGGTGTAAAGTTTGGGGAAAGGAGAGTGGATGATATATATGTATAGTTGAAGAGAAGAAGTGGTTGACCAGGTTTGATGGTTGTTGGCTTGGGGAACAAAACTACAAATGGAATGGTGTGTGGATGAGATGACACGTTGTGGACTAGGTGAGAATTGTATGAACATTAGATTAGATTAGACTAGGTGTTGTTCTCTCGAAGTTTAACAAGTCTTCAATCTCGAACAACTTGTTTATAAAATATAAATAGTCCGACTTGTAATTCTATTTTGAGTTTATTAGTTTTATTTGTCAATTTTTCCACTAAACCCGTGATTTTTGGATTTGCGTATAACGTACTAAATTGTGCATGTTAATTACAACTTTTTCATAATTTAGTAGATTCAATCCATTCAGCTAGAATTTGTATTGTAATTAGTACGGAGTACAATAACACATACCAGAATATCATATCCTACCTCCGTCACACTAAATTACTTTCTAAAATAGCATTATTGAAGTATTAAAGTAGTATCACGATAGTTCAATACTCCGTTTAATTTAATGACACGTATCTCCTGTTTGAAATTGGTTTTGGTTCTATTTTATTTTTTCATAAGCAAAACTTGAATCATTTTTTTGAAACTGATCTCTCTCGACTTTTAGAAAAAAGTTAGAGCAATTAGAGTTCCCAATTTTTATTTTATGTACTTGATGGTGTAAGATTAATTTAAGAAAAGAGCCAATACTTTAAAGAATGTGAGGCCGCACTTTTGAAGAAGAAAGGGTCGACTATGGTAGGTAGTTGGGTGGCAATTGCGACTCAGCCATTTCAACAGATCGTTTTGTTTACGAATGGCAGATCGTAAGTAGCTGTCAAGGTCAAGTAATACCCTCCCTCGCCTACGTACAACTTTTGCAGGAGACCAATACTTTATCTTAATGATTTTGTGCAATTTTGATAATTTTTTCTAAATAATGTCAAAAATTGTATAAAACCAATCAAATAATAATAGACAATTTATTTATTAATATTTATGTGATTATCCCTCATGTCACATGTGCACTATGCACATTATAGCGAGCATTGAAAATGCTCTCAAATACTCCATATTCAAATTCTTCTTTGGCACTTTCCTTCCATTCCTAAAGGCACATATAAAAGGCACTCCATATACTACGTTTTTTATTACTCCCTCCGTCCCAATATAAAAGGCACATATCCCTTTTTAGACCGTTCCAATATAAAAGACACATTTTTCTCTTTTGGCAAACAAAACAGTGTCAAACAATGTTCAAACAATGTCAAACAGTGTCCAAACAGTGTCCAAACAGCGTTCCTCCTAAAAATGTTTGAAAAAGCAAATGTGTTCTTTATATTGGGACAGAGTGAGTATTAAAACTTAGAGTTTTTGCCACTCTAACCCCCTTTATTATCATGTCACTTTTGATACTTGATTTTCAATCTTTCATTTATAGTCCTTCAATTATTATGTGAGAGACAATTTCATTCATCATCTTCAAATATCCTGATATTTAGTCCCCTGGATATTACTTTTATAAAAATCAGATGATTAAATATCAAAATTCTCAAAAGCAAATACTCCGTACTAAAAAAGTCTTGCTCAATAGTCAAAACTCAAAAGATTAAAAGTGAAAAAGTTCAAAGTCACAGTGATATAATAGGAGTAAAAATGACAAAAACGCTTAAAACCCATTAAGATAACTAAGCTACATTATTATTTCGTCCTTGACGCATTTTCTAAAAAAAAAACCATTAATATCAGTAATCTCTAATTTAAGATTCCGATTTCCAAATTAACAAAAAGGATGTCTCCACAGCTCCACTCAATTACTTGTCATCGACTGATTGCAGTTTTGGCTCAGTGGTGATGTTTGCCTTTTGAATTAATTCCACCTTTCATATTATGAGTATCGCATCAATTATATAATTGCTTATTTAACCAATTTTGGTACATAAACAAAAACATTGGCGTATTCAGAAAATATTCTGAGTTGGGACGATGTTACATTTGACATTAAAGTCACACACTTCACAAATAGCGAATCACATTATTAATATTGTTTGATTAAATTTAGTTTAAGACTTAGGAGCTGTTCGGATCTGATTCTTAATTTTTTTTTGCTCTTTCAGGGAGCAGAAGCAGAAATTGGAGTGTTTGAGTGAAAGTACAGAAACGATTCTAGTACTCTAATTTACTTCTAGAATCAGTTTAGAAGTTGATCTCCTCCAGCTTCTAAAAACTGATTCTGATTCTGCTTCTACTTTAAAAAAGAATCAGAAGCAGAATTAGTTCCAAACACCCCCATATACGTACAAGTATATATAGAAAGATCAATTTATATTATGTGTGTGTAAATATGCAATTGTAGATAAAACTTGAAAAAAATATCAAGAGGCATAATAAAATTTAGTCAACTTTTTGTCCTTTATTCATATTACAAGATCATATTTTAGAACTTTTTCTATGTTTAACCATTATTTTGAACAACTTTCAATAAAATTCTTGAGGTATAAATCAGGGCTGAGTTGGGTGGGGACAGCTGTCACCGCTATCCCCACAGTGGATACACCACCGTACATAATCATTGTGTTTTCATTCATACGTGATTTTTTTTGTCAATGTTTTTGCTGAAAACCCCATAAATTGTAATAAAACATTAGTAAATATTACTTCACTAAATTCCACACTATTTGCAGTTTTGCACCGTTGTAAGGGAAATTCCTCAAGTTTTTCGAAGTGACTGCTCATCCGACAAAAGTTGCAAAACATTCACTCGACAAAAGTAATTTAACTTGAGCGCCCAAAACTATAATATGAATTGGCCAATGGCCCCAATGGGTGTCCAAAACTTAGCTCAATGATTAATTCATTAGTAAACTTTTCCCCTCCAAATAGACTTTAATCAATTACGTTGATCAATATAAATTTATCACGGTTCTAAGTTTATATTCTTCTATTAAAATATTGTTAATAAATAGCTTCGTATCATTTCAAATTGTAATAAGGTTTTATACGTAGTGTTGAGGTTTATTTCCTTCAACCCTCGGGTCCAACACGTAAGCCCAAGGATTTCGAGTGGAGTATGTGTGAGTAAACTAGCCCAACTAACAAATGAGATGAATCAAGAAACAACAAGGTAGCAAGTAAGTGATTAGGTATTATTATCTCTTAATAACTCCCTAATACAATACTTTTCGCTAAGGCTCCGTCGGCCGTTCGTCTTACAAGGCAGTAGAAGTGCTACGAGTAAGAATGCTATAGCTAGAGTGCTAAGAATAGAAAGTTGCCAACCCTTTACAATGAAATAAATGCTTCTATTTATACCCACCAATGGGCAGGTGGCTATACTGACGTGGAAGCCTGTGGTTCGCTGTGTCTCAACCACCAAATCTTCACCATTAAATGCACTTCCCGCCAGAATCTAGGTTTCCCGCCTAATTAGTGGGGACATTCGTCCACCCGGGAGTGAGCTGGATTGCTCCAGGTGGCCTCCCAGGGGTACTGGCCGTTCGTCCCCTGGCCTTTGTGGATTCTCGCCATGCGGACTGGACTGCCTCCGATGGCTACGGGCTTGCTCTGACGACGTCCGTCGTCATTCCGGTGATCCGTGGTCCTGCTCCTTGTTCCTGCATAGACGTTCGTCGGGATGGGCTGTTGAGCCCAAACCCCGACTGCAGACGTTCGTCCCTCCTGGAGGAACATGAGCCTGCCAGGCCAGCCTAGTGATCTAGCTGGACGTGCGTCCGGAAGTAAGGGTAAATGGGCCGAACCTCAACTTGGGCCATTAACCCAACACAAGTCCCCCTATTCTGATGTTCTGAGCATGCACAGGACATAAGGAAGTATGATGTCCCTCGAAGTAGACGTTCGTGTCACGCCCCAGACCTATCCGGACACGTCAACAATCCGCCGTACAGTACGAATAGTCAACCACGGTCCAACACATTCATACTATACAAGGCGTCTGAGATATCATTCACACATAGTGCATCCATAAACAAAAATAATATAAAATATTCATTCAAAGAAGCGGAAACGCTTAATACAAGTGTTCAAGCCACACTTGGCGAAATATGGGCATACAAGCCATCACATAATTATTCAAAAGATAATATCCATGAGCATTAATTTAAATGATTTTAAAACAGGAACGGAGGAAGCACGAACCACGTCTTCTTCTCCTGAATTCTCTTGGAGCAACGGCGATGGTAGCAACCTTCAAGTTCTACCTGAAACTGTGAGGTGACCTCCCCCGTGAAGGGGAGGTCAGTACTTGGAAGCATTTGACAAGTACAATGACAACTATACTAAGTATAATCAAAGTTTCAATTTCCAAGACCCTCAATCTAAGATGTTATTCATTTGTAATTAACTCATGTTCTCCATGCTAGAGCTCGGCTCATAGTCATATCAATTTGTGCTAGAGCTCGGCTCATAGTCACCCTACGTTTGCTAGAGCTCGGCTCATAGTCATACTAATTTGTGCTAGAGCTCGGCTCATAGTCACCCTACGTTTGCTAGAGCTCGGCTCATAGTCATACTACCACGTGCTAGAGCTCGGCTCATAGTCACGTCATCTAATCCTAAACAATTTCTTAGTCTAGGTTCCATCCATTTGAGTAACCCTTAAGGCTTACTCCTAATGTAACTTGGGTTCATGAGATTCACCTTAAAAATATCCTTTAAGGTTACTTAGCTCCAATATCTTGGGATTATCTCCGAGGACTATTTAACTATCATTCCGACTAATAATTCTATACTAGTCGTTCAATCTTAATATATATCAAATGCAACTTCATAATAGTTCGTATGTTTCAATTTAATTCCACATTCAAGTGTAGTTTGGATTTAATATCAAAATATCACTTTTACCCTTCCATGACTTCTTTACATGAGGTAAAAATATATTTATCACATTGATCATTCATGGTTAATACATCTATCATGCCATTTTATTCATAACACATAATCATACAAAATTTATTCAAATTTGTATATTATGCACTTTCACT